GAAAATAAGTAATTTTCAATGATTCTTAGTATGATATTTCTATAAGGGTATGAAAGGAAAGACATGAACTAAATCTGTTCGACAACCAAAAGACTGTTCAAAAGAGTACACGCTCTACGCGTACTGACTTGCAGCAATGAACTGGCTCCGACGAAGTAGGATGAAAACTGCGCGTAGCTTTTCTGGTTTTTATTGCAACGTGAAACCTAGTTCCCGCGTGCCGCCAATGATGTATGACATCATCAAACAACCTTGTGACAAGAGTTGTGTTCCAAAATTACGCTCTATGCACAACGCCAGGCAACAGGCAATAAGAACAGGCAATAGGAGTCCGGATTGGTCAATTATTTTTAATCCCTGTTTCTATTGGTTGATGCCTATTCCAATTGTCTGTTGTCAGGCATTGTGCATAGAGCATTATTAACAGAGCTGATAATCTATAATATATGTAACATAAATTATAGCTTTTCAATGCTGGCAGTGAATTTTGAAACACAGCCAGGAAGTACACGTCGCGGTGCGGCGCAGCCGATTCGCACCGTCCCTCCTTTTTCCTCTTCTTCCAGAGAATACGATCACTCTCCTCTTAGTCTCGATGTGCAATAGGTGTAATAATCTTTAAGCTTGAAGAAATTGTCCAATCATAGTCGAATTATAGAAGAATAATCAATCGTGATTAGTTAATTTCTTACGGCTTAAGGCCTATCTATTGTAGGTCGGGACTTAATCTTTTAAATAACTTAATTTTATGTTATTTTACATTTGTTGTGTATTTGGCATATAAAGTTAGTTGACGAACTTCATAATTTATTAAATTTATTACATAGAGTGACGCAATATTTAAGATCACATGATTATAAAAATGATAAAATTAAAAAAGAGATATAATTATAGTTAAAAAACTAAATATATAGTTATTTTCAACCTCGTGAAAAGTCTTAATATCATGAAGAAAAAATAAACGAACTTACATTTTATTTTTTATATTTTATTTTCAAAATATATGGATTATTAAATATAAAGAATCAAGCTGTTCATACAGTTCCTTTACCGTGATATCACCTTTATTGTAAAAGAAGATAATGCCAAACCTAATGCCTTCATTAGTCACTAGACATAAGTCTTGTTATATTTGTCACAAATGTGAAACTGTATGAAATTACTGGTCATCACACATTGGGGCGTTCAGAAACCCTACTCCGTGAGTAGAGTAACATGTAATTAGCCAATCAAAGCAAAAGGAACTAAGATTTATTTATTATGATTGATTTATTAAAGTAACCCTATCCATCGAGTAAGATTTCTGAACATAGCTTTGGATGTGCACACTCGCAAACATCTTACAGTATTAATTCACTGGATGAAGAGCTCGCTTATATTAACACATTTGTATCTTCAAGTATTGCGTTGCATCGTCCGTCACGTTATGACGGAAGTTCAAGAATCGCGTGATTCTTATTTTCACACAGAATGTGCATCGCGACGCATCAATGCAATATATGAGCAGGCACAACATAACTTAATATTAACGATTTGTATGTGAGTCAAGGTAAATGTATAAAGCAAATAAATTGAATTGTGTTTGAGGATCAATTCAACTAAACTCCGATTAACTTAATCACTGATTACCTTATGGAGCGATCAATATAAAAATATCTAACGATATAATTTTATAGTTTTCACATTTAATAAAACAAAAATTAATAACCATTAAAAAAATAACACAAAATTTCAACTGAATCGTTAGAATATACTAATTGTTTTTAACTAATAACTGAAATTTAGCACAATATTATTTAGATAATAATTTAAACTTACGAATATTTTTTTACATTATTACGATTTTTTTACATTATTACTCAACTGCATCATAGCGAATGGAATGCGCAAAATATAAGATTTTGCAAGACACGTATTCTGGAAAACACAAAATATAACTACTGTATAACATAGATGTAAACGTAATCTTATATGTGCATATATATATATATATATATATATATATATATATATATATATATATATATATGCACATATAAGATTACGTTTACATCTATGTTATACAGTAGTTATATTTTGTGTTTTCCAGAATACGTGTCTTGCAAAATCTTATATTTTGCGCATTCCATTCGCTATGATGCAGTTGAGTAATAATGTAAAAAAATCGTAATAATGTAAAAAAATATTCGTAAGTTTAAATTATTATCTAAATAATATTGTGCTAAATTTCAGTTATTAGTTAAAAACAATTAGTATATTCTAACGATTCAGTTGAAATTTTGTGTTATTTTTTTAATGGTTATTAATTTTTGTTTTATTAAATGTGAAAACTATAAAATTATATCGTTAGATATTTTTATATTGATCGCTCCATAAGGTAATCAGTGATTAAGTTAATCGGAGTTTAGTTGAATTGATCCTCAAACACAATTCAATTTATTTGCTTTATACATTTACCTTGACTCACATACAAATCGTTAATATTAAGTTATGTTGTGCCTGCTCATATATTGCATTGATGCGTCGCGATGCACATTCTGTGTGAAAATAAGAATCACGCGATTCTTGAACTTCCGTCATAACGTGACGGACGATGCAACGCAATACTTGAAGATACAAATGTGTTAATATAAGCGAGCTCTTCATCCAGTGAATTAATACTGTAAGATGTTTGCGAGTGTGCACATCCAAAGCTATGTTCAGAAATCTTACTCGATGGATAGGGTTACTTTAATAAATCAATCATAATAAATAAATCTTAGTTCCTTTTGCTTTGATTGGCTAATTACATGTTACTCTACTCACGGAGTAGGGTTTCTGAACGCCCCAATGTGTGATGACCAGTAATTTCATACAGTTTCACATTTGTGACAAATATAACAAGACTTATGTCTAGTGACTAATGAAGGCATTAGGTTTGGCATTATCTTCTTTTACAATAAAGGTGATATCACGGTAAAGGAACTGTATGAACAGCTTGATTCTTTATATTTAATAATCCATATATTTTGAAAATAAAATATAAAAAATAAAATGTAAGTTCGTTTATTTTTTCTTCATGATATTAAGACTTTTCACGAGGTTGAAAATAACTATATATTTAGTTTTTTAACTATAATTATATCTCTTTTTTAATTTTATCATTTTTATAATCATGTGATCTTAAATATTGCGTCACTCTATGTAATAAATTTAATAAATTATGAAGTTCGTCAACTAACTTTATATGCCAAATACACAACAAATGTAAAATAACATAAAATTAAGTTATTTAAAAGATTAAGTCCCGACCTACAATAGATAGGCCTTAAGCCGTAAGAAATTAACTAATCACGATTGATTATTCTTCTATAATTCGACTATGATTGGACAATTTCTTCAAGCTTAAAGATTATTACACCTATTGCACATCGAGACTAAGAGGAGAGTGATCGTATTCTCTGGAAGA